AAAATTGGTGAATAGCGGATTAAACGAATTAATTAACAGTTTGCAAAAAAAGAATCCGCCAAGTAACGTTACTCCAATTCCTAATGAATTAATAAGCACCAGGTCAGCTCAACTATTAAACTCAATTCAAGCTGAACTTGAAATTGACGGGGTATTACCACCGGACGACTTGGAAGATGAAAGGTCAAATGAATTTGTCATGGAAGTGAATGAATCATCATCTCTTAAACCCATTAAACGACACGAGGACGATGGCTTGAAAACTGAGTTGGTTATACTACAAAGTCAAATGAATAGATTAAGAACCGAACAAGACAAATTAACTTTAAATATTGATCAACATCGAAAACAAAAAAATGTCAAAGTTCATGGAGAATCAAGCAATCACGCTTATAAACGTTTCACCCGCATGGTTGATTCCAAGGAAAGCTTGGATGATAGTGATAGTAGCGGAATGGATACCGAAAGAGATGAAGATTCTTACGCGGAATTAATTAAGAAGCAGGAAAAAGAAATTAATATGCTTCGTCAAAGGATTAAGATTTATGACAATCAAATCAAAGAGTATCAGTCCGTGAATGGTGTGGTGAACGCAAGTCACATGATCGACACGGACGAAGCAAAAGGCATCAAAGGTGAATTCAAGAATTTACAACGATCGTTTCATAAATTCACGAGCGTATCGGGCGAGGTGGAAATCAAAGAAGCAAATTCTCTATTGGAATTATACCAATTGGAATCATTCCAGGATAACTCCAAATCATCAAAGATACATTTGGCCGCAGCACTGGAAGCACGTTTGTTATCAACACTTCAAGAAGAAGTTGAAGGTTACTTTGCAGTAACGAAAAAGAACTCATATTTGGGAGAAGATTATGATGACAATCAACTTGAGTTGGACCTAGTTGAAACCACTGAAAAATTAGTTGAATTACTAAATCGATTTGCAAACGCTCGTACCAACGGAGACGAATCTCTCAAGAAAACATGCAGCGAATTTCGTTCTCTAATCTATTCTACACTAAGTACCTACTCCTTTAAAAAATCTGGAGATGAAACACATCCATTTATAAATTCATTGGTGTCACAGTTCATAAAATTCATGGAAGCATATCGTGCATTCTCATCGACGACCGAGATATCGCAAGTTAAAGAAGAGGCGAAGCAAATTATCTTGGAATTTATTTCTCTTGTTTATTTCAAATTAAAATCTTTTGATCCTCAACCGGAATTGATTTTTTATGATCAATGTTCAGACGTTGACGAACGCAAAATGAAAGGCGCTTGGAGTAAAGCCGATTCATTAAATCAAGAGGTTGAAATTTGTTATTTCCCCGCTGTTATAAAAAATAATACCTCTCAGAATGTTCCGATCAGCAAAGCTCAAGTGTTGACTCGACCTCGTTATAAACCAACGACACAGATTTAAATGACAAGAAAAAGTTTTCCATTTTAGCAAAATGTATATAGAATCAAAAAAAAAAAATTCCTTGTAAAATATTTAAAAACGTTCACTTATTCAATTATTGCGGAAAAAAAGGGTCGTGTTGTCAATAGAAAACACATCTCAAATAGATCTTATATTTATACATTGTACACATTACAAAAAAAATAAATAAATAAATAAATAAATAAAGTAAAAGCTAAAGAAGAAAAGAGATGTATTTATAAATATGAAATTTTAATTTTACAATATTTTTATGTCAAGTTAGGATTCAATGATATCTAACATGATTAAACAGCAAAGAACCAAAACAATTTCCAGAGAACGATGATCTCTAACATCCCGCCAAGCATTTGTCAAAATACATAAATCACCAATCATATTCCAATCCTCATGTTTCCTCTTCAAAGTAGCAACAACCTCTTTCTTCTTCTTTCTCCTAATTACACTAGATAAATCATATTCGATTATTTCACAAATTAAATCAGAATCTTTTGAACCATATAAGGTTGGTTTCCACCTATAATCTCTCCCTTCAAAATCAAAATGCCAGGTATTACTAAATGTGCCTGTTCTACGTAATTCAGTTTCCATTTGAAGGGTGTGAATAATGATCAATGGTTCTCCTACCAAAGAAATACGCTTCGCTTCTCCTATTATAAAATCATTATATACTTGCCTAAGTATACTATGATACAATGGAGAATCGCCGTGTCTTATGACTTGTTTTGAATATATTGCATGTAAAATTGGCTCTTCTTCACCACTTAATTCGGGTATATTTACGATTTGATTGACAACATCTTTTTTATCGTCTTTAATAATTTCTACCTTTTCCAATTCTGGATTAACAACAAATTCTTTTGGTATGTTAATAGGATAAAGTATTTCGATATCATTAACTGAATTCGGGGATGTACGAACTACAACATAATTTAACGCTTCTTTAAACACAGCTAATTCATCAAGTGAAAGTTTTAAACATTCTTCCTTTGGTAATTTATCACCGGGAAGAGTTGAAGTTGTGTGTTCTGATATGGTTTCTGTCTCCGATTGCTTTTTATTTCTAATAATTGTTGACATGATTAAAATAAAAATGATAAATTTTATTGTAATGGGAAAAGAATCTTTTTTAATAAATTTTCTGAAAATTCATCACGTGTGCTACACGCAAATTTATTACGTGTTACCCGAATTCATAATAAATTATGATTGGCTCAGGTAAATGTCAACTTGTTAAAATTTTCGTTCGGAGTTTTGTAAATCCGAAACTTTATTTCCTAATGGATCATCCTATATTATTTTCCAAATCGTTTTTATACTACCCAAAATGTGATATGGTATTAGTATGGGGATGAGTGCTAAGAAAAAGGGACCAAATTGTAAAAAAATTTAATTTTTAAATGATTACACTTAGAAATAAATGTTTGAAATCATTTTTCCTTCCCCCCCCCCCCCATATAGTTTTATGATGCTCAAGTTGAATTGTATCAAAAAAGGTAATTTGAATAATAATGCCAAGTTTTTTGCCACACGTGATTTTCAATATCCTTTTCGACTATTTTGTAATTTAATATCTCTACTTCCAAAAGTGGTTGAAGTTAACAATTCTACCAAGATTTGTCGTTAATATGGTGCAGATCATCTAAAAGTCAAACAGTCCGAATTTTTTTTTGCCGATCATAAACATATCATGTGATCTTTATCCAATCAAAACAAGCACGTGATTAAAATTATACGTGATTTGATATCAAAATTATCGATTGTGATTATAGTTAAATTAAAAAAATATTGTTATTCAATTTGTTTTATTTAATTCTTCTAATACATTTTCAGGAATTTTTCTGTGTGATTTATATTTCTTAGCAAGCATATTCTGCTAAAAAATTTATTTAATATATCATTTTTTATAAATGAGTTAAGCAATATATAAAACTTACTCAAGCCCTGTGGCAAATTTTCCTTTCTTATCCTGGTTTGCATTTTTTAATGCAGCTTTTCTTTTGTTAAATTCTAAAAAAAAAAAAAAAAAAATCAATTAATATTGTGTTACAAATTTTCACGTGAAAACATTCATTTCATTGGACAAAATCGATGTCACATGACTAATCATATGTTTAAAATTTAAGCATTTTATAAGAAAATTGTCAATTTTCAAATGCCTAATGCTTAAAATTTTTCTAGTTAATTAAAGATTCGAAACCATAAATTTTATTTTCCATTGTCTATAATATTATTATTATGGATTGTTTTCTCTTTATAATGTGTAAAAAAAAAAAGTTTTAGGATTTTGAAATTTGATGATTTTATTTCCATTTATAGATGATCTGCACCATAGTGCTTTTAAGGTATTAAAACTTTTTTTTGAAAAAATAAATTGTCTTTAAAGGGTACAAGTTTTTCATAAAACAACAATTTTATACAAATAAATTATGATTGGACACTGAAGAAGTGTAGCTTGCTAAATCAATCAAAGATATGATACAACATATTCAACTTATCAATGCAAGATAAAATAGAGGAATTTAGTATAGAATTATAATATAAGTAAACTAGGAAATGAGAACCGTTATATGTCCAGAGCGATTTTTAACCTTTTTTTTATATTAGGATGTATGCTTTTATTCAAATAATAAAATCATTGTAATAAAATCATTGTAATAAAATTGTATATAATATGATCGTCATTAATAAATATAACAATGAAGTGATTGAATGTAACATTAAAATGTAACACAAATTGTAATATCATCTAACAACGTTTTTAATATGCAACAAACCACATATAAGCCACAATAACAAGAATACTGAGCTTTTATTCTCGAGACATTTGTTAGTTCGCATCTACTATGATAAAATGCGCAATAAAGTTAACTCTAACACTTTTCAGAAACATAAATTAAGAGAAAATGAAACGTCTGAGCATCGTGAGGCTCATCTTGTTAAGGAACTCAAAAAAAATGGAAAAAAAAGGAGGTAGAAACTACCAAAGAATGGAATGCACATCACACATATAACCGCGAACGAAAACGCCTAATAGTAGCAAATAAAAATATTAAAAACCACCATAATCCAATGCAGCCGCAGCGGGATCAAGTCATGAAGCTGCAGCAACCACAGCCGCAGCAGCAATGATTTATAAAGTCACAACCGTAGCAGAATCGAGGTATGCTAGAGTAGGACCGAGACATTCTAAAGCAGCAAGATCAGAGTGTCAAAGTCCCATCTGAACTCAGTAAATCTGAATGAGACCTTTTACGAAAGTTTCGCAATAAAATGGACAAATTAAAACATAATCTTTGCCTTATATACAATGAGAGTTTTCCGTCTATAGTGCTTGTAAAAGGAGAATGCCACCGCTATTATAGTGAAAAGACTTACCCAAAGAAATTCTCTGCAGAAAATAGCATGGATCCCGGTAATGTACCTGATGAACTCCAAGGGCTTATAGAAATTGAGGAGATGTTGATTGCTAGAGTCTTTCCTGTAATGTCTGTTTACAGACTTCATAGAAGACAATGTGGATATCGTGGAAATGTAATTAACTTCCTCCAAGATGTACAAGAATTTGCTACTCACCTTCCTCAGCATTCATCGTCATTAGATGTACTTGTTATACGTTATGAAACTGCAGATAATTTGGCAGCATTCAGAGATTTTACTGTCCATCGTATCAAAGTTGCTCGTGCGCTACACTGGCTAAAAGAGAACAATCATTATTATACTGATATTATAATAGATGATGAGGTTCTTTATTCTTTGCCTACCAGTGGATCTATTGATGACCGCCTTCAGAAAACTCAAATAGTTGCCGAGGATTTAGATAATGAAGATGAGAGTAATAAAGGTGATGCAATTACACGCACTTTTATTTCACTTCTTCCTTCAACTTATCGTGAAAATGTTACCATTCAAAATACCCTTGATCGCGTGCAAAACTAAAACCGCCTCATAGAATGGTCACAGATCAGTAACAATCCTATCAATGAATTCCAAACGCCAGGATATATTGCATACGCATTCCTAATATTATATCCAACTGGATGTGCAGATCTTCGTGCAGAGCGAATTAGGGATGTCAAACCTGCTGAATACTTTAGACATCTGCTTCTATATAAAGACAGGAGATTTGCATGCCATCCTCGTTGGCGATATTTCACATTGAATTCCCAGATGTGATAGCGAGCACTACAAGAAGGAAAAGTATATGTTAAGCAAAATCTAACTAATTCTCAAATTACTGTCGCAGATATTCAGGAGAAAATAATTCAAGGTGATAATCATATTGCCGATAGAATTATGCAATTTGGCAAAGGACTGTATAGATCTTGGCAGTTTTGGAATGCAAGGCATTGGGAACTTTCAGACATGATCAAGCAAATAGGATCACAGAGCTTAATCTTCTTTACATTTAGCACTGCTGATTTGTATTGGCCTGAACTTCACAAGCTTATACCATCTAGTTTCACAGAAAAAGAGACTAATAACCAAAACATCGTCGATAATCCTCATATCGCTATTTGGTTCTTTAACAAACGATTTGATTTATTTTTTAATAATATTTTAAAATGATAATGGAATTTGGAGGATTAGTGATACTGATTCAAGTGGTAGCACCACAGTAGCGTTCATTTTCATGGAATCGGAAAGAAACGCAATGCACCTATAATAAAATGGGAACAAATGTAGAAAGACGAGAACATTATGAACAAAGTAGTACGATACCTTGATTCTCTGGTTACCATGATAAACCCAGGGCTCAACACGCCTATTTTTGATTAGCATCTGTGTAAAAAGCGTAAAGACAAAATATGCGATAATCAACAGGATTACGTTGAACTAATCAATAAGCTGCAACAACATACACGATGCAGTCCTTCGTATTGCCTTCATGTTAACCGAGATGGTCAGCAATCTTGCAGGTTCAGATACCCTAAAGAAAATGTTGAGAATACTTTTATACGTAATGATGGTCATGGTCAACC